ACGACTGCAGGGCGCGCGGAATAACCTGGATTCTGTTCTAAATTGACCATATTTGGGTATTTGTACTGTGCGCGCCGTCGTCAAGTGACGTTCCCGTTCTCTTGCTAAATCAGCCTATTTAGGTGTTGACAACTATAATTTTGTTATCAACAACTAAATGTTATCGACAACTAAGAAACGTAGCACTTGTTTGAGATGAGTTGTGAACAGCTAAACACTAAATTTCTAGTTGTTGACAACTAAGCAGTTTCCCTTTTGGAAAAGGGAAACTGCTTTTATTTAGTTGTCAACAACTACGTTTTTGGCAATTCTTCCTGTGTGTGGGAATCATTGGTTAGTTGTTGACAGCTATCAAAACTGCATTGTCAGTGGACAGTGGTTTGAGCATGTGTATGTTGTTTTGAGCATGCGTAGTGAATGTTGGTTTTCAAGGTCTTGCTGGCCTGACTTAGTTATCGAGAACTAACACTCCAATGTGTGGAATGCTTGCCTTGGACACAATTAGTTGTCCATAACATTTAAATGTTGATAACAAATAGTTGTCGACAGCTAAATATCTAGTCTGTGGAGGTCCTAAGGATTGTAGTTTTGGCTGCCATCAATATATTGATCATAATTTTGATGACAACTAACTAACCTTGAAAAGAAAAGACAAACAAAACAAATCAAAATCTATCAATCACAACCCATAGACGTGACCTTTTGAACCTGTTGAAGTAAACTTTTGTTTCCTGAGAGGTTTGCTAAGGTGATGGACAGCAAAAAAACATGAAACTGTTGTTAGAATAGAGTTTGCATGCTATTGAAAGGTGGAGTAATGATAACTGAAACAGCATTTTTCATAGAGTAAATTGACACAGTACATGCACACTGTAACATGCAACTTGTTTCTGTGCCAGTACAATTTTTTTTATTAAACTGGTGCCAATTTGTGAACTGGTACATAGTGTTTTCAAATGTTACAACTGCACTCATGTATATGATTTGGGTTTCAGGGATTATTTTAAATTCCTACATGTATATGTCCTAAAATATACATGTAGTGTGTATATTGTGCTCATAATTTGAAATCTGCTACAGCACCCTGCTACTGCACCCTGGGCCAATTTTTTAGCTACTTGGAATGCCCAACTGAAATCATCATTCAGATCTGCACTTTGCCCAGATCAGGGTTTCCAACAGCTTTCTTAAGTACATGTACTGGATTTCTTCCTGAAACTTATGAGATGCTCGAGTCCAAAAAAAAAAGAAAGAAAATACAGTAACTATGCAAATATATGGCATCAAAGTACTCAACATTGTTTGGTAGATAACTGGAGGAGACGTCCAGCCTTCGGCCTCTAACCCTAACTACAGCACTATTCATTACACATTGTACAGGCACTCTCTCAGTTACACCAGTCTGAGGTCCTTGGCAGCATATTGACAGCAGAGTATGCCAAACCCTTTCATGAACGTCTTGCAGCTCAGCAGTGTAGCAGGTAAGCGGTCAAGGTTTCGGTCTGTTGTCACATGAACATGTACTCCATTCCACGGACTGTAGCCAACTTCTTACAATTTCTCTTTTCTCAAGTGCTCTTTTAAATTGTTACATCCCTAATAAAACTTTTTGCAAGAAGGGCAGCTAAGTGAGAATAACATATTAAGATTTTTATATATTGACACCAGCTCTTTAGAGAAGACTGCAGACTGTTAGAATTGTTAAGAAAGCATGCAGTACAGATGGACAGATTTTTCCATCGTTTTCTTAACCCTTCAAGCCCTGACTGTAGGCCCAAAGACCACTTGTAAGTAATATATATTTACCAATTATGCTCCACTAAAAACTGCTATATTTAGCTTTTTAATAGCATTTTGTGCCATATGGCACTATCAGGGCTTAAAGGTTAAAAATCAGAGGAAACCCCCAACAGAGAAGCTGGCTGAGATTATAAAGTTGTAATTAATCCTGTTATTTTTGTTGGCATCCCACCATATGAACTTTTAGCAACCTTGAACTGTGTTGATTATTTTGTCACTTAAGGCTTTTATAGGGGAATGGAAAAATAGGTTCCTTGGGACTTACAATTTTATTAAAATTTTGTTTCACTAACATTGCAATGTCCATCCCAAATACGTGCTCTGTCTGCAAAACCCTCTGTCAAGCTCTCATAATAAAATGGCACAGTGAAATTTTTTTATATAATCAAATTTTTATGAGCATGATAAGATGTAACTTTTGGCAGAGTTTTTAAAAAAATTCACTTGTGGGGTTCAGAGCCACCTTAAAGTTTTGAAAATTTAAGGTGGTTCTGAACCCTATGTACAGAATTTTACTAAACTTTGCCAAAAGTTGCATCAATCAATCAATCAATCAATCAATCAATCTTTAGTTGTACTCACTCTTGCTCAAAATAAAAAAGTTATAACAATGAAAATATTAAAAGTAAAAATTAGAGTACTGCTGCCTGGAATAACCATAGGGGCTTGCGGAGCCAGGCAGCAGTTAACATCAGTATTAAATAGAAACAATATACAAGTCAGCAAGAAAACTGAATGCTATTTCTATGTTACATGTATGAAGGAAGTCTAGAATAGTTAAATTTATATATGAATACAAAACATTAATTTAAGAAGAACACACAATAGCTATGGCAACTAATAACAGCTATATATTAAACTATAAAAGTAAGACTTGGAAAGGTGACAGAAAACAGAAATGAGCATCTTATCATGCTTATCAAAATTTAATAATATAAAGAAATTTCACTGTGCCGCTTTTGAATTATAAGCCTTTAAAGCTATAATAAAGGGTGATTTAGCAGGTCATACTGTTGCTATGGTAACCTACTGTGTCATGAAAATTATAACAAGGTGTTCACCAATGCTATGATTGTAGCATCAACTGATAAATGGTGGTTACAATGACCCATCAAAACCTAAGCCTTGGAAAGTGCTGGAAACTGTTTTGAGCGACCTTAAAAGGCAAAATAATGTGAATCGGGGCTTTTGCCACAGTACTCTCTGTTTGATCATGGACTTCAGTGAGGGAACGGTTAAATCTGCTGGTGGTTGAAATAAAACAGTGTTCCTGAATTTGAAATATCCTGAGAAGCTCATTGATTCAACCATCAGCAGATTCAATCGTTCCCTCGCTCAAGTCCATGATCAAACAGAGAGCACTGTGGTGGAAAACCCAATGCACATTATTTTGCCTTTTAAAGCCAAAATTTGGCTGACATTGTATGCAGTGACTTAAGCGACCTTTCCATGAAGATAAACAAAGATCTGCAGTCCATCTTCACAAGTAGGAAACTCATCCAAGACCTTAGAGTGATGAAGAAGAAACCATCTCTAGTAAATCAACAATGCGTTGTTTGCAAATGCAAAATAATGTAACTTGTGCAATTCAAGTTATGTCGGATACACATGCCGACACCTGTTTAATGAGCAACGCATTAATGAGCATAAGTAGTCAGTGGTCAGAAAACACCTTTGCAAAGGTCACAACCAAGACCAACCAGATATGCACGAACAATTCAACATCTTAAAGGAGTGCAGAGGGAAACTGGCAAGAATGCTTGATTTAAGAGACGTTGCTAATCAAAGAAAAAAGACCAAACATAAACACACAAGCGGACTCTATTCGGGCAAAAGTGTTTAATTAGCTGATATTGCTCCTCACATTTTCCCTTAACACCTAAACTAGTATATATCTGAACTGAATCTTTTTTAATCTGCATTTGATAATTGTAACAAGATGATGCTGAAACATCATGTTATAGAGTTCAGCCTTGATATTCGCATAAAACATATGCTGATAAAAAAGAAAGAGTGTATTAGGGGTTTAATTAAGGGCTGGGCACCAGACAAATTGACTGGCTGTGAGGATGATTTTACTGCATGGTTTAACCATTGACAGACACAAGTTTTTGTTATAAAAAGGTCAGTTCAAAAAGTTTTGCTCACCTGTGAAAACCAGTTGCCCTTCTGCTGAAAACGTCAATGAAATGCTTATGTGTGATATGACTTATTACAATGTAGAGTGGAGCCTAAGACAGAGTTGGATGAAAAAACCAAGAATGAGAAGGACACACAAAAACAAGAAACACAACAAGGAAGCAAAGAGAAAGTCAAATCCAACATCCAAGGAATTGCCCCAGGACTAGGGTAAGAAAAAATAAGAACCATGCACTGCGTATGCTATAGGCTACTCACTATCTACAACAGAATAGATAGTCAGTAGCGTAGCCAATCAGAAAACAGCATTTGTGATAGAATGCGAGTAGATTTACAGTGTATACTAAAACTTGATAGAAACACACAGAAATTGCTTACAATCATTGTTTTATTTCAGAATCAAGTACAGTAGCAATCCAAGTCTTCACTATGTGTATCCTCCAGTGAACTCAGCAATCCTCACCAACATTGCTCACACATTAGCTTGTGTTCCAAGATTTTATATCCAGGTACGTTGTCTGAGATCAGAAGATTGCACTTCTGGTTCTCATCACAGATTGCATTATGCAGGGCTCGACTTTCAGGGAAAAACCGTGGTGCCACCTGGCCCTAAGTTTTCAGATTTAGTTGCCAACAAGGTTATTTCAGTGTAAAGTGTGAAAAGTTAGTCGCCAGTGAAAAAATTAGGTTGCATTGGGGTCGCAGTCTGATTATCTTGTTCTTGTACTTGTTTGAAAGCCAGTTGAGTACATTTGTCTATAATTCTGGAAACAAAATTATCAATTTTTTTGCTTATAATTTGTGGGATTTGCTTTTGAAAATTTGACGTACAGTAACTGAAGAAGAAGAAAGGGAATGAAACGAAAACCTAAATTGTAAAATTCAATAATAATTGATCAAGTTTTAACAAAAGAAATCATGAACATGACAGAGTTTGGATACCCGATCTTAATTATTCCTAGCTATTTTCTCATTAGTTTTAGTTCTGATTGAGAAGAAATATATCAAACACTCAAGACAGAGTTTGATCACCTCAAAGTTTGTCAAAAATATTGTACTGGGCATCATATTTTCAACTCTTTTCTCTGTGTTTTGAAATGTGGTCAAACACAGTCTTTCGTGTTTGGTATCGTACATCAAAATTCATCAAAATTCCGCAACTCTGCCAGACTTGACCAATATTTTCCGTGGTCTAATGAAACATTACTTTTAATTACTACTGTAGCAAGATTTGAAATGGTTATTGTCCAATAAAATAACTGATCAAGCTTACAGAAGCTTATAAAATTACTTTTGAATGACTAATAATTTATTTCAGAGGCAGTCTAATAAATTCTGTCAATGCAAATAAATTACTAGCCTCGTGAAAATGGTATTGTCCCTTCCCCTTCCCGGAAAAGTGAGGATATTCCTGTTTTCCCTCAAACTAACCTAATTTGTTTCTTTCTTGTATAGGTTTTGCATCTGATGAATAAAATGAATCTCCCAGCTCCATTTGGCCAGGTGACCCCTACCCCACCTGTGGTAAGATTTGTAATGTGATCCGGGCGCACTTTTCAGAATATATTCCATTTTAGTTAACCTAGCTCTGGGGTGTTTCCTCAGTCAACATTAGATTATTTCCAAACTGTGAGCTTAAAATTGATATCAAACACACCATGAGTGTTTCTCTCAAGGGACTATCAACTTTTGCTCTTCATAGGAGTGACTGCATAATATTATCAGGAAACGTGAACACTTTGAATGGGTCAGATTGTGCAAACATGTATATACAAGAATAAAACGTTGAAAGTTCATTTTGTGAATTAAATTGGGAGGCTCGGGGCCTTATGAAAAGTGTGCTTTTATCTATGGATTGAGCTGTCTGGATTTAAGCCCTAGGCAGGGTGATTGTGTTGTGTTCTTGTGGATTGCACTCCACTCTCGCAGTGGCTTTCTCCACCCAGGTGAATAACTGGGTAGCAAAAAAGTGTTTGGGGCAACCTGACAGTAAGCTGTGGAGTACCTGTGATGGTACATCCAGGGGGCAGTAGCAATACTCATAGCCGCTTCATGTTCCAGAAACTAGAGTTAAGCTCCTGAAGCTATGAGCCTTTTAAGCTTTTAAGACTTTTAGTCAATTTTTAACTTTTTTGATGAGCTACAAGGATTTAATTTACATGTATTTACGTGTAAACTTCAGTATCAGTCAACTGTCTGTTAAACAAATGTTATCCAGTACACCTTAGTTTAAACATTAGAAGTTTGCTGCAGGGATATCTGGCTGCTGTCGTCTTCTTTGATGATCAATATTTTCTTTGTCATTATTAAGTTAGGTGAAGTACCTGAGGGACCACAGACAACAGTCGCTTCATCAGATGGTGAGATACCTATGTCCAGTGATGAGTCAGAAATAGAAAGTGATGAGGAGGAAAGAGAAAAAAGGTGATCTTAAGCTCAATAATAAATATGTTTATTATACATGTCTCTTGCATTAGCCTGTTCAGTACTGACTCCAGAGGTTACAGACAAGGGTCACCTTTCTGTGGCCTGTGTAACACCAGTGCACACTCATAAAAAGTTAGATTTGCTTACAAGTCGAACTTAGAGATCAAATGAAGGGCTGCATGGAAAAAGACCCTAGGTGACATCTGATAGACTGCAAGATTCTCCTAGCAAATTGCCTTTCTTTTTCTACCATAAAGGAGAATTTGACATGAGATGAAGTGTCGCTTTTTTCAAGTTCGCCTTCAGATAGAGAGCTCAAAGCATGACAACAAGAAGCAAACAACTTTTAGAATGTCTAGTACAAAGTGACTGCAGTTACCTCACTGTGCTTTCTACCTTTTCATTTGTCACAATTATGTGTTAATGCAAGTACCTGTTATAAAAGCTTTCTACCTCTTAGTGTGTTTTTATGAAAGTCACAGACTATTTTTAAGTTATTATAATGTTGCCTTTGAAAAAAGACAACATTAATTGTAGTTTGAGGCATACCACTGCATAGCAGTCTTTCCTGTAATCTGCTCTCTGATTGCTATTCATAAGAGAGCGGTTTTTTCGTTTAAGTGTGGAAAAGTAATTGGTTTTGCATCTCTTTGCTATGTGATTGGTTTAGAAAAACTCACGCCACTTTGTCATTCAATTAGAAGGAAAACCAAAGCCAACTGTGACTCACTTGCATACGTTTTCCCACACCGTGTCAGCTACATCAATAACTTCGGGTCTTGATTGGTTCATTGTATTTTCTTTTTTCTTTGTTAGAGCGGTTTTCAATTGAGTGTGGAAAGTAGTCAGTCAATTACTTTGGTTTTGGTTTTGGTTTGACTATGGTTTGAGGTTGGCTGAGTAGTCTAATTGGCAAGTAATTGGTTTGGTTTGGGTTTGGTTTTACGGCACTCAACTGAATTCTGCTCTATGACTAGAAATTAGATTCCAATCACTGTTGGCTCTTTAAGGGTTAATGAAAGACTGGTGATTTTGCTTCAGAGCTAAGGAAAGGGCTGAGCATGCCCAGAGAATGTCTGTTGCTAAACCAGGCACAGGTGCGAATAAACGTCACAAGGTGAAGCTTCATCCAGCTCAACCACCGACCAAGAAGGTCAGATCAGCGCCATTATCCAAACACACTCCTGAGAGTGTAGAGAAAGCATTTGAACAGCCTGCTGGTCAGCCCAAGAAGATTGAGTTCAAGCTTACAGAGGCAATCTCAAACATATTCGAGTCTGCAGCTTACAATGAGATGAGAGGTAAAGTATGTTCCTTGTCTGTGCCGCTGACCAACATACCGACAGATGGATGGACTGAATGACTTAATGATTGAATGACCAATTATTTTAAAGGATTCACAGAGTTACTGTTCACAGTTGGCGAGTCAGTTGGTCAGTCAATCAGTCAAACAGTCGGTCAGTCAGACAGTCGGTTAGTCAGTCAGTCAGTTGCTTAGTCGGTTGGTCGGGCAGCTATTCGGTCAGTCTGTCATTCAGTCAGTCAGTCAGTTGGTTAGTCAGTTGGTCAGGCAGTCAGTCAGTCAGTCAGACAGTCGGTCAGTCCGTCAGTCAGTTGGTTAGTCATTTGGTCAGACAGTCTGTCAGTCTGTCTGTCTGTTGTTGAGTCATTTAGTCAGTCAGTTGGTCAGTCAACGGTAAAACACTGAAACGCCTTCCCTCCGATTTTCATGAGGAGAGTGGATGATCTAACACCGACACTTAGTCAGTTAATATATCTCTTACCACTGAATCATTGAATCTATTGGCAAACCTTGGCAATTCAGTTCCCTAACAGCTAGCTTTGTTTACAGCTTCCATTGCACAAGAGGTGGAAGGTTTTGGTAGATTTGCACCTCCTGAAGATCTTGATGATGACAAACATGACGAAAAAGAAGATGAATCTGATTCTGAAGAAAGCAACGATTTTATCTCGTCAGCGGAGTTACGAAGAAACAGAATTAGTACCAAAGGTAAGCAAACTTATTCTCTTTGTAAACAAATTTACATTTTAAACTACTAAAGTTCTCTTTGCAAATAACTTTACATGAAGTAGAAAAATAGATAGAGTGGTCTTCACTTGAGTGTTGAAAAGTAATTGGTTTTGCATTACTACGTTACACGATTGGCTTAAAAAATTCACGCCACGTTTTCATCCAACCAGAGAAAAACGAGAACCAATCGCGACGCGATTTCTATCAAAGGGTAGCTAGCCACTTATGTGAGACCTTGAGAGATCTGCTACTCGATCCAAAGTGATTTTTTGTCTTCACAGAAATGCCTGAGTTATCTGTTTTCAAGAATTACAAACCAGGAGATCCTACCTGTAGACTCTACATTAAAAACCTGGCAAAAACTGTCGATGAAAAGGTAGTGTTCATATTTGTGCCTATACTGAAACATTGATGGTCAAACCCGGTGAATAGTTTCCTTTGTCGACGTCCTTTAGGGCTGTCAGTGATAAACCCAAAGAGCGTCTGCGATGGAAGCTCGGCCAATCATTGTTTCCACTGATAAAGTAATAACTTCATTATTTTAAATTTGAGTTTATTCTTCTTTTCAGGTTTAAATTGAAAGTTCCGAAGCTCCAAAAAACGGAAACAGAATATCTCGGGGTCCTAGTACAGTTTATTTTCTCCCAATTTAAGCAACGAATTTGTAATTCGCGAGCGGGAAACACGATAAACTCATGGCGCGGACGAGAGCTTCGTCCCTCTCCGCTCAAGGGTCGCTCATGACTCCTTCCATCGAAAGAGAGACTGCTATCAGTTAGAGAAAACGCCCATTTATAGACTGAACAATTCTCAACTGAGTGCTGCAAAACTAAGACCAAAGCAGTCACAATGGCCAAAGACGCAACACAACAAGCCAATGTATCAGAGCTTAGGCTGCACTGCAATCGCGGAAAACGCGGGAGGCTTGGGGGAAAGCGGGAAATGCATCTTAGGGAGTAGTAGTGAGGCTGAATGACGTGTGAGGGGGAGGGAAAGGAAAGATGTGTTTTGCTCTCTGCCTCTCCTCCCTAACTTTGCACTTTTGTTGGTTTTTTTTAGGATCTTAAGTTCATATTTGGTCGGTACATTAACCACAATGTAGAGGAAGAAAAAGACAGGTGTTGTATGAGGTTGAATGCAGTGGAACCCTCCTTACGGCCACCTCGTTACTGAGGCCACCTCGTTATTGCTGCCACCTCCTTATTGCGGCCACTTTGTTCTGGTCCGAACAAAAGCTTAGTCAGTCATTTTCTTATTTAAAGAACCCTTTAACACGGCCACTCCGTTAATACGGCCAACTTTTTGTGCCCCGTTGGTGACCGGATTGACGGGGTTCCACTGTACTCCATTTTATTCTCATTTTTACAGTATTGGCTTGAATAATGTTGTTGTCCCTGGAGGCATTAGAAACTGTGAAATCTTCAATTAAAACTCACTTCAACTTCTTCACTGGGCTACTTCCCTATTCGCTCGTTGATAATTCGGGCTCGTATTGTAATTTTTAAATAGCACTCAGAAATGAATGTGTGAAAAGTTTAAAACCCACGAGCGATATTGTTCAGTGAAAAGATCTTTACTTTGAAGTAAAAGATTTCCTTGCGAACTTTCACTCGGTCGGTCTTACGAAATAACGTGTGACGCAAAAGGCC